AAATCAGCCCAATGTCCAGCTGAACAGCATCTATTTTAAATGTCAGGGATGCCTGGCAGGTGGTAATAGCTGCCATAACATCAAGGAAACCAGGTGCCTGAGGAGCAGTCTCCTCTAGAGAATTGGTCTGGGAGGCCCATTTTGGAAACCCTCCCTAGACTTTCCACCACAAGGAGCTCTAGGCTGGCCAAATCTTAAATATACGGGGAGGAAATCAGAGCTTCTTACCTCACTTAGGATTTGTGAGGCATCCAGAGCAGGCACACTAGCTCCAGCAGAGCTATGAGAGATGCTTATGTGCATTATTTGTTCTTTGTACCCATAATAAGGCCAACAAACCATAGTACGCATCTTGGTTTTTTTTTTTGTCCAACTTTACACGCTATAACCCTAAATACAAACACTAAATTTAAAACTGATTCTTTTTTTTCCCTACCTAAATGCACACTGAAACTCTGTAAACTATATCAAGCCCTGATCTACAGTTGTGTTCAAAATAATAGCAGTGTGTTGAAAAAAGTGAATAAAGCTCAAAATCCTTCTAATAGTTTTTATTTCCATACATACAAATGCATTGGGAACACTACACATTCTATTCCAAATCAAAACATGAAGAAAAAATATATAAAATTTGTGTTGTTCCTCTACAAAAATTGAAGAAAAGTGAATATTAGACTGTTCAAAAAAATAGCAGTGTTTGTATTCTTCTTTACAAACTCAAACATTCACTATATAAACTGAAAAATGTTTGAAGATTTTGCTTTCCTTTGAATCACTTAATTAATATTTAGTTGTATAAGCACTGTTTCTGAGAACTGCTGTACATCTGTGTTGCATGGAGTCAACCAACTTCTGGCACCTGTGATCAGGTATTCCAGCCCAGGATGATTGGACTACATTCCACAGTTCTTCTCTATTTCTTGGTTTTGCCTCAGAAACTGCATTTTTGATGTCACCCCACAAGTTTTCTATTGGATTAAGATCCGGGGATTGGGCTGGCTACTCCATAACGTCAATCTTGTTGGTCTGGAACCAAGATGTTGCACGTTTACTGGTGTGTTTGGGGTCATTGTCTTGTTGGAACACCCATTTCAAGGGCATTTCCTCTTCAGCATAAGGCAGCATGACCTCTTCAAGTATTCTGATGTATTCAAACTGATCCATGATCCCTGGTATGCAATAAATAGGCCCAACACCATAGTATGAGAAACATCCCCATATCATGATGCTTGCGCAACCATGCTTCACTGTCTTCACAGTGTACTGCGGCTTGAATTCAGTGTTTGGGGGTCGTCTGACAAACTGTCTCCGGCCACTAGACCCAAAAAGAACAATCTTACTTTCATCAGTCCACAAAATGTTGTGCCATTTCTCTTTAGGCCAGTCAATGTGCTCTTTGGCAAATTGTAAACTCTTCGGCACGTCTTTTTTTTCAACAGTGGGACTTTGCGGGGGCTTCTTGCAGATAGCTTGGCTTCACATAGGCGTCTTCTAATTGTAACAGTACTCACAGGTAACTTTACACCTTCTTTGATCTTCCTGGAGCTGATTGTTGGCTGAGTCCTTGCCATTTTGGCTATTCTTCTATCCATTCGAATGGTAGTTTTTCGCTTTCTTCCACGTCTTTCAGGTTTTGGTTGCCATTTTAAAGCATTTGCGATCATTTTAACTGAGCAGCCTATCATTTTGTGCACTTCTTTATATGTTTTCCCCTCTCCAATCAACTTTTTAATCAAGGTACGCTGTTCTTCTGAACAATGTATGGAACAACCCATTTTCCTCAGAATTTCAGAGAGAAATGCACTGTAACCAGCATGTACATCATTTGCTGCCTTCCTTCCTTAAATAAGGGCAATAATTGCCACCTGTTTTTCAAAGAATGAATGACCTCACTAATAGAACTCCACACTGCTATTATTTTGAACATGCCCCTTTCAATTAGTGATTCAATTACACAGAATCAGCAGCATGCATGTCATGACTGTTGGGTCTGTTGGATTTCTATTACTCTACTACACCTGCTAGTAAATTATTTGCCATGTAGAAATATAATTTCTACCAAAAACAGTGATTGATCAGGTTAGTGATGTCTGACAGCTATTATTTTGAACACAACTGTAATTATTCTTATATACATAATTTTATTTTTTTTGTAACAGACTTCTCATCTAGCAAGGAGGAAGAGATACAATGGGGTTGATTTACGAAAACTGGATAATTAAAAATATGGTAGCTGTGCATATTAGCCAGTCAGCTTCCAGGTTATGTTTTGATAAAGTTTAACCGAACAAGCTGAAGTTAGAAGCTGATTGACTACCATGCACAGCTGCACCAGATTTTGCACTCCACAGTTTTAGTAAATCAACCCCAATGTATCTTTTTTTCTTCATGAAGTAGAAACAACACGGGCAGGCTACAGAGTGAATGATCAATGTTGTCACCAATCACAGGCTATTACAGTGATAACATGATCGAGAAGTGGTTCTCCCAGCTCCTGATCATTAAAACAAGACTCTGAGCTGTCGGTACCAGCTCAATCTCAGTGCTGGGAGCGCTTGAGACTGCACCCAGGGATAAAGCCCACATGGATGCCACATATATGTGTTACATGGTCATAAAGGGGTTAAAGACTCAGTGGATAGGTGCTTGGAGGCTCTTCTAAAAACATCTTTTGCAGTAGCAGGACCAGCTATAAAGACAGCCACTGTCACTTTAACGATTATTCAAACTTTGACTAACTGAGCTGGAGAAATTCATGATGAACTTTCTCTTGCAAAAGACAACCCAAATCTTTACTCAAAGTTGCAGTTTTTACTGTTAGCTCTATTCTGTGTGGATGCCATAGACAACTTGCTTGGAAAGATCTCCAGAATGTCTTTCTGTTCTATGCATACAGTATGCACAAAATTGTATGACTTAAAGCTTGAACGACTGATCCAGAGAAGGAAAGATGCCTTTTGTGTATGCTCTTGAAGCGCAAGTCTCTCTTGGCCAAGGCCCTTGATGAATGCAATGAGGCAGATAATGAAGGGAGAGGTTTCAGACCCCACTATCCAAAATTGCACTTCATTCTGCATTTATGTGTTACCATCTATGTGCCCCTTCCAGAAGCAATCCTCTACTGTGGGTCCTTCTAGGCATGGCAAACCTTCCCTCTCTAAGTCCATCAGAGCCTTCCTCATGCCAATAGGTCATTAGCCCCTCTTATGGAGGAGATTGAGTGCTCTACTGACCCTTACCCCAAGTTAGAAAAGAGATGTCAGAAAATAAAAATCTCTCTCTCGCTCTCTCTCACTATATCTCTCTTTCTCCTCTCTCTATCTCTACCCCTCCCCCCAGGTGATGTACAATTCTTATTTGTGGTGCAATTATTCTTAATTGCTGTTCTGTCCTTACCAATATAGTTCTTTTCGGTTTCTATTCACTTGGGAAAAGAACAAGATTCCTTAACCACTTGAATCCCAGAGTCATTTATTAGAATTTTTTCATTTTTTGTTTACCTGTTTAAAATCATTTTAGGCCTGAAGTTTACTTGAAACGCCCAAACAATATATATTTTCTGAAAGCAAACACCCCAGAGAATAAAATGGTCATTGTCACAATTTAATTTGATACACAATGTTAGCACAACAGTTTATAAAATTCTAAATTTCAGCAAAAAGTAACATTAATTTTATGGCATGTCAATGCAATAAATTACCACATTTTTGTTAAAAATATAAAAAAAAAATGTAAGTGTAAATAGATACCAACCTTGTCACGCCTTAAAATTGTGTGTGTGCATGTGAAATGGTGAAATATCTTCAGTACCCTATATTTTACATGGGCAATGCTTTAAAAGCCTCTACAGGTCATCAATTTAGAGTTACCCAACAGCCCTCGTGCTACAATTATTGCTACGCATGTGTAGGGCACTCGCTGTTTTAATACATAGGTGCCCCAAAGCGTGCATTTTTGTATGTGTGTGTATGTAGGGGTGGAGGCTCAAATAAAAGTTTAGTTTTTTTTTTTTGTTTTTTTTACATAACTTGTTTGCTATCTGATAGGGGACTAATAGCCCCCCTATGTAATAGTATATATGTGACGGGTTCTCTTTACCGAGACCCTGGATGTACTCCATTGCAGCTGAAGGTGTGTGTGTTCACATTGCAGCGGTTCGGCTTCTCAGTCACTCACATCACTTCCACATTAAAACCAGCTGTTATAGCAGCTGGAAGTGTGTTTAAAATGCAGGTGTTCCCAATGCCGTTTCTTGGCTGTGGGGCCTATACAGCATCTAGAGCCTGGGTTCCTCTTTTGAGCAGAGCCACCACCTAAATTCTATTTCATGTTTCTCCCAAAACATTGGTTACTAGGCAGCTGTTCAGTCTCTGCTGTTGCTCCTGTAGTGAGGCGTTTCTACTGTTAAAAGATAGGAGTCTGAATAAATCATTCATATGTTTTAAATAAATGTAATTCCAAAATTAAAAAGGAATGTCCTGTAAAATTCATACATTTTAGTTAATACAGTCTTTAAAATAGTGTAGGCATTCTAAATATAATATCTATTCAATCTCTACCCACAATTTGTCTTAGGACACCTGCGTCCCTTTTCGCAGCATTTTATTATGGACATGTATTTGTGTCACTCCTGTAAACTTCAAGAACACAGAAGATACTATGATTTATGGGGCCCTTCATCCATCAAAAGTGAATATATGAATTTCTAGCTATGTACTGACTACCAAATTGCATTCCTATTTGCTGTTCAAATCTTATATGGTTATAAAGAAATATTAAGGGCATTACCACCCTCAGATATTTTCCTTAGCTGGTGTATGAACAAAATCCAAATTAATAATTCAGTTGTTTTTAATTATGAAGACTATATTCAAGAAGTGTATTTTTGCATTTAGAAAGCTTTTTATTAAGATTATTTTATGATTTTAAAATGCTGTACTCTGTGAGCCTGTTTTTTTCTCCAAACTAATGATTTTACTATAAAAATTTATTACAAATAGGTTAAAGAAATGGAAGCCATTATAAAAAGAAGACACCCTAACTCTATACCGGCAATCATGTATGCAGCAGCTGCGGTTTCTGAAACCGATCCCTCGAACAAAAGTAGCACTGTCTCCTTCTTAGAAAGACGGATACAAAAATTAGAATGTGATCTTGAGAGCAAGGATGAAGAAGCAAAGAAGAGTCTACGTAGCATGGAGCAGCAATTTCAGAAAGTTAAGGTGACATTTTGCACATTTTTAATTATTCCTATTAGGAAGCCCTTCCATCATTCATACTTTAGTCTGTTGGACTATTCTTATGTTAATGAAATATTTTCAGTACAATCCAAAGGCAAAGTAGCATACTAATGTCTTCACCAACAGAACTTTATTTAGCTGAGCTTCAGCACAAGGTACCTCCACCATCATTTCTCTGACCTGTTTCACCCAATGGGCTTAATTATAGAGGATGAGGTGGTCATGGTCAGGGAGACATTTATATGCAATCTTTTAACCTAACCCTTGTTCTGCTGCTATGGAAACTTTTAAAGTGATTGTAAACCAATATTTCTTATTTTTTTTAAATGACAAATATGTTATACTTACCTGCTCTGTGCAATGATCTTGCACCAAGCAGCTCCGATCCTCCTCTTCTGGGCTCCACTGTGAGTTATCTTGGCTCCCCCCCCCCCCTCCTCTCCCTGCTGTGTGCCAACCATAGCAAGCCACTTGCTATTGGGGCACTCATGTGGGCTCGCTCCCAGTGAAGTGTGTGTGTGTTGGGGGGGGGGGGGGGCTGCACTCAGAAGGTTTTTACCTTAATGCAGAGAAAGTAATAAGGTAAAAAAGCATTCATGAAACCTAATTATTATTATTGCTGTGTGCGAAAGTAGCAAGGGAAGGTAAAGTTGTAGAGAGTATGGTAGATCGGTTGGTGGGAGAAGGACCTGGGGTAGTGAATAGGGGAGGAATTTTATATGTATATATGCTGATTTGTGCTTTCATTATATATAAAAGATAAACTGACTTTTTTAGTTCAAATATATGTGTTTATGGTATATCTGTCTTGAAATTCCATCAAGTGTGCTTTTACATATAGCCTAAACCACCATTCCATTCTCTATACTTTTAGATTCAGTATGAAAGTCGAATCAATGAGCTTGAAGAATTATCTGCTCAGAAAACTCTGAATGAGCCCCAAAATAACATAGATAGCACAATAAAAGTAAATGCACTTGAGCAAGAGCTTTCCATACTCAGGGATGCTCACCACATTACAGTAATGAATCTGCAAAAAGAAATTGAGACACTCAAAGAAAAGAATTCATTTTTGGAGCACAAAACAAATACTAAATTTGATGAAAAGACTGAGCAAACTAGACTGACAAGACTTAACCAGGAACTTACGGCCAAACGTAAAGAGATTCAGGAGCTTTCAAAAACAGTGGAGCGCCTTCAGAAGGAAAGGATGTTCATGCTCTCCAGAAAACCTCATTTAAGCAGTGTTGGTGCTAGAGGCAAATACCTAGGAGCCTCTAAAGCAGATGCCTTACCTTCCTCTAAAGGAAGTACCCTAGAGACAGAAAGTTTTCCTGCAATGCAGGATGAGAAGCTGTACCAGCCAGACACATTTGCTGATTTTCATATTTGTGATCTGCAACAAGATAATGAAAGATTACAAGGTGAAGTCTGCAAATTGTCTCAGGAGATCAACCAGCAAAGGGTCAACTATGAAGCTACTGTGGCACAAGGGGAAGATGCCATGAAAAGGTACACAATTTCCTAACTGCTGTTACATAACCCATTTGTCATTGAGGGTAAAACAAATGTTAATGCCTGAACACAATTTTGCAACTTTGACATGTGTTTGTAAAACTGTACATATCATCGCAACTACTTTGTGTATCCAAGTGGATTATACCTTGTTTTTTATAGGCAAATTAGGCTTTCTTTTGGTAGTAAATGGTAACAGATATCACCTAGCTTTTTTTTATTATCAAAGGAAAACTGTCCCAAAAGAGTTAAAAAAAAAAAAAAAAAAAAAAATTAGCTGTATATTTTTTGCTATTACAGTAACTTACAACCAAAGAACAATCCAAAATGCATTCTCCTGCTCCTGACGATTGCAGTGGTACCACATATGTGTATGTTAGTTGTTGTCTGTGCCCATAGTAGGGCCCAGAAACTTGTTGCTTTTTGTGTATCCTATTTAGAACACACAGACACTAACTGATACTGTCAGTAAAAAAAAAAACCTGCCAAAAATATACTAACCCTGATCTTGACCTTTAACGCAGCACTAACACTGCCCTAGATTAAACGTTGATCCAGCTAATGTTTTATTTTTTTACACACACTATTGTTTTTTTTTTTGTTTTTTTTTTTTTTTACATCTTTTTCACCTACAAGGAGAAAAAGATGCAATGTATCTTTCTCTTCCATTCAGAAGTGAAAGAAAAACACATGGGAAGGCTACACAGTGACTGATCATTGTGACAGCCAATCAGAGGCTATCAAACAATCAGGGGACTGTGAATTGGGAGGCCTAGGTCAGATCATTAGAAATTACCTACTGACTGCCTAATATGTGAGTTGCAATGGTTACCTGTTTTGCTGAGACCCAGGAGCTTTAGACATGAAGCCATCCAGCCTGGAAGAAGTGTACTTACATCATTCTCTTCCTGTAGCAGCTGACTCTACCTTCTGTTATATAGCTTAAGGGTAAGAGGAGGTGAGCAAAAGATGACAGACCTTATATTGGGGGAACTGAGCCCTGTTTCGTAAAACGAGTACCACTTGCAAGTAGTCTACAGGGTCAAGTGGGAAAAAAGAATGAGTACTGAAAGTACATTTATCATTGAAGCCACATAAAGAAAATAACATTTCTTACATTAAGCGTAATATTGCAGTGTCTACCTGAGAAATGTTAACCTTATTTGTAATGGAAAAAATACAGACAGTACCCTTTGCATTGACTTCAATTATTCTTTAGTAAGGTAGGTAATAGGGTGCGTCAGTGGAGAAGATGGCCGCCGCTCTGTTTGGAACACTGGAACGCACGCTGTCCACGGACCGGAAGTGACGTGAGCATGGAGTGGTGACGCGTTTCGGAGCATGAGCGGAGCTCCTTTTTCAATACCAATGTCCAGGCTTAGGGAGAGCCAGTTAAATAGGGTAAAGAGGCAGGAAAAGGGGCTATCAGTGGGAAGGAAGGTACACACCTCCCAAAGACCAAGCTGGATGTAAATATGGAGCAGACTGTTTGGTGTGAAACAATAGGAGACTGGGAAAGCAAGAAATAAAAAACAAAGAGAAATAAAAACGGAACTATGTTTGTAAGGACTGAGTGGGGGTGTATAGGATATTGGAGAATAGTAAAAAACGGGATTTGACCATTATCTAAGAAGATATATAAAAACAATAATAAAAATAAAGATAATAATGCAATTATAATTACAAACTGAGAGATGGGCAAGAGGGAAAAGAAGAGGAAGGGGGGGAATTTAATGTGCAGATGGGTCACCACTCCATGCTCGTGTCACTTCCGGTCCGTGGACAGCGTGCGTTCCAACGTGCGCTCCAGCGGTCCGAACAGAGTGGCGGCCATCTTTAACACCTTTCCTCAAGCTCCCCCTGCAGCTGCTGGCTGGCACAGTTGCTCCATCGCTCAGAGGACAGAGCCCTGCTACTGACAGATTACATTAGAGCCTGTTTGTACTACTACATTGTAAGTGTTTTTAACCACTTTTTAAGTTGACTACTCCTTAGAAGCGCCTTCCTGTTTCACCAATTATTGTATAGTACAACTGATTCCAGTATTGCCGTGGAACAATCTAGGTATGTGTGTAGTCAAAGCGATCACAAATGTCCTCTGAAAACAGTAGTGAAAATCTTACCTGACCAATGTACAGAAATAAGTAAGCACAGTGTTTTAAGGCCTCACAAAGATTGCCCAAGATGAGTATGTATATTTCAGATGAATAAGAGTACTCCTTATGCTGAGATATTGTAAGCCTAATGTATACATATGCTTTTATTCTAGTCATCTTACTTACAACACAATGAAATAGTGCAGTAGCATGAGATTACATTTACCAGTGTTGTTTAGCCTTTGTTAGGTCTTAGAATAGTAATGGCAAATGACAGTTTGTGAGAAATGATTCAGAGAGTGCAGTTTAATGCACTGTCACTACAAACAACAAATGGTGCTGTGCTACCCCCATCACTGAAATGACAACCACACTACATGCTGTTACCTCCAGTACAGTCATGGCAAAAATATTGCACCCCTGCATTTCTGTCAGAGAATGCACCACTTCACCAAGAAAATTGTTGCAATTACAAATGTTTAGGCATTCTCATGTTTATTTCTTTTGTTTGTATTGGTATGACACAAAAAAAGTGGAGAAACAAAAATCCAAATTTGACACATTCCATGCAAAACCCCAAAAATGGACTGGACAGAGTTATTGACACCCTCAATTTATTATTTGGTAGCACACCCCTTGGAAAAATAACTAAAATCAATCGCTTCCTGTAACCATCAATGAGTTTTTACACCTCTCTGCTGGAATTTTGGTCACCAACTACTCCAGGTTTCTCAGATTGGAAGGGTTCCTTTTCCCAACTGCTGTTATGAGATCTCTCCACAGGTGCTCTATGGAATTGAGATCTGGACTCATTGCTGGCCAGTTCAGTACTCTCAGTACTTTGTCTTAAACCATTTCTGGGTGCTTTTTGATGTGTGCTTTGGGTCATTGTCCTGCTGTAAGACCCATGACCTCTGACAGACACCCAACTTTCTGACAGTGGGCCCTACATTGCACCCCAGAATTCTTTGGTAGTTTTCAGATTTTATAATGACATGCACACGGTCAAGACATCAAGTGCCTGAAGCAGCAGAGCAACCCCAAAACATCAGTGAACCTCTACCATGTTTGACTGTAAGGGACTCTATTCTTTTCTTTAAAGGCCTCATTGTTTTTTCTGAAAACAGTAGAATGATGGGCATTACCAAAAAGCTGTAATTTTGTTTCATCTGTCCACAGCACATCCCAAAGGAATTTTGGCTTCCTCAGGTAAGCTTTGGTAAACTCCAATCTGGCTTTTTTACGTTTCTTTGTCAGCAGTGGGGTCCTCCTGGGTCTCCTACCATAGCATCCCTTTTCAGTCAAATGGCGACGTATGGTGTGAGCTGACACAGTTGGTACCCTGTGCCTGAAGGTCAGCTTGAATTTGTCTGGAAATTGATCAAGGTTTTTTTAGCCACCATTGGAACAATTCTTTGTTGCAATCTTTGATCAGTTTTTTTTCTGCTTTTCATATGCATCCTAGGAGATTAGCTACAGTGCCATGGGCTGTAAACATCTTGACGATGTTGCACACAGTGGACACAGGAACATTAAGATCTCTGGAGATGGACTTGTAACCTTGAGATTCTCCATGCTTTTCCACAATTTTGTTCTCAAATCCTCAGACAAGTATTTGCTGCTCTTTCTCTTCTCCATGCTCCTTGTGGCACACAGAGACACACAACAGAAAGGTTGAGTCAATTTTTCACCATTTTAACTGGTTGCCGCTGTGATTTCTATATTGTCATTACCTTTTAATTGATACAGGTGAGTTGTATTACAAATTGCAGGGTTTCATAAATTTGGAATGCAATTAACTTCTTACAATTTTGGGAAGGTGCGAATCCTTTTGTCCAGTCCATTTTTTGCGGTTTTCCATGGAATGTGTCAGATTTGTCTTTTTTTGTGTCGTACCAATGCAGACAAAAGAAATAAAAATGAGAATGTAAACATCTGTAATTGCAACAATTTTCTTGAAGTGGTGCATTATCTGACAGAAATGCAGGGGTGCTAATATTTTTGATCATGACTGTATGGTAACTTTAGCATATGGAAATACCTTAATTATTCACAATACTGTTGCTATATGTATATGTAGGTAACAGCACATAGTGTGGTTATAATTTTAGTCACCAGGTAGTGCAGCACCGTTTGTTTGTAGTGTCAGTAGTCATTGTGGGAACACAATAGGTGTTAGTAGCTGCCACATTTATTTATTTATCTATTTATTATTTTGGTTGTTTTTTGGTAGAGCAGTAGTTAGTTCTCACTTTAATTCTTATGCAAAAAGGCAGTGGCAAGGGAAATGATTTGTGCATAACTAGTCGGTCAAATGTAAGCTCACTTTAGGCTCCATTTACATCTGAGCGTAGCGTTTTTCAGCATTTTTAGCATGATTTTTTGCACATATTTTACCGCAATATATCTGCGTTTTTATACAGCGTTTTTAGCCATTTTTGAGCTTTGGCATTTTTTATTAGCCAATAGAGAAAAATGGGCTGCCGAGTCCCTAACGACCTATGAGTAATCCGCTGTCAGTGGGGTTCCCTACTGACAGCTGCATATAAAAAAAAAAAAAAAAAAATCCGGCAATTACAAAATAATACAAAAAAATACGTGGGGTCCCCCCAACCATCTATACCAAGCCCTTTGGGTCTGGTTAGGATTTTTAGGGGAACCCCCACGCCAAAAAAAAAAAAGGCTTTGCCCCCCCCCCCCCCAAAATCCATACCAGACCCTTATCCGATCATGCAGCCCATGAGGTCAGGAAAAGGGGGGGTCAAGTGAGTGCCCCCCCCCTCCTGAACTATACCAGGCCACATGCCCTCAACTTGGGGGTGTGCTTTGTGGCGGGGGGCTCACCCCTCCCCCCCCCCCCCAAAGCACCTTGTCCACGTGTTGATGGGGACAAGGGCCTCTTCCCCACAACCCTTGGCTGTGGTTGTGGGGGTCTGTGGGCAGGGGGCTTATCAGAATCTGGAAGCCCCCTTTAGCAAGGGGGCCTCCAGATCTTGCCCCCCCCCGCCCATGTAAATGAGTATGGGGTAGATGGTACCCATTCACAAAAAAAAACTAGTGTGAAAAAAGACAGGAGACAGACTTTTTTAAAAGAAGGAAAATAAAGGAATGTCCCCCGAAGTAGATCCAATGTCAATCGCGATGCCTGCTGCCGCCACCCGAAAAAAGAAAAAAAAAAGGCTCCGCTCCCAACGCTGGCTCCCATCTGACTGCTCTGCTGGCTTGACAGTTCTTAGATATGTAAAGGATGGGGCCATCACGTATGTGACCCCGCCCCCGTGTGACATCATTGACCCAGCATGCCCCGGTCGATGATGTCACAGGGGTAATGTCACTGTGTTGCCCCGCCACTTACATATTTAAGAACTGTCAAGCCAGCGGAAGAGTCAGATGGCGGGAGCCAGAGTCGGGAGCGGAGCCTTTTTTTTTTTTTTTTTTTTTTTTCTTTTTTCGGATGGCAGCAGCGGCGGGCATTGTGATTGACGTTGGATCTACTTTGGGGGACACTCTTTTATTTTCCTTCTTTTAATAAAGGACTTGGGGGGCTTCCAGATTTCGATAAGCTCCCCACCCACAGACCCCCACAACCACAGCCCAGGGTTGTGGGGAAGAGGCCCTTGTCCCCATCAAGCACCCCCCCCCCCTGTGTTGAGGGCATGTGGCCTGGTATGCTTCAGGAAGTGTGCTCGCTCTTCCCCCACCATCCCCCCCTTTCCTGACCTGCCGGGCTCCATGCTCGGATAAGGGTCTTGTATGGATTTTGGGTGGGACCTGAAGCCATTTTTTTTTTTTTTTTTTTTTTGGTGTGGGAGTTCCCCTCAAAATCCATACCAGACCCAAGGGCTTGGTATGGATGGAGGGGGGACACGCCATTTTTAAAATTATTTTTTAATTGCCGGCAATTCTTTCTTTTACATTCAGATATCAGTGGGGAACCCCGCAGACAGCTGAAACATTAATGCATGGTTTTCACTACTAAAATACCACATGACTTGATAAAATAACTCATGCGGTATTTTAGTACAGTTTTTTAGTGAATTCAAACTTAAAAAAAAAAAAAAATGCTGTGCGGTATCCTACCGCATACTCGGATGCAGTAAGCTACAGCTTAGTTAATTGTGCCCAATATCATCTATTGCATCATTTTTTGTTGCTAGGTAAACTTGCAAAAATGTGCAAATCTGCCCAATTTGAGCTACAAAAGTAGCTCCAAAACCTTTTTGAGATTCAGGCGTTCTGCTTCAGGCAACTTGGACTAGAGATGTAAACCATCTCCATAGAGAAATATTGATTTTTTTTTTTTTTTTTACCTGAGCGTTTTGGAGCTTCAAGGTTTGCGCTACAAAACGCTCAGGTATGAATGCAGCCTTAGTAAAAAAAAAAAAAAAAATTAAATAAAAAAATACTGATCTGACTATTTACTGAACTTTCCATGTCACTCTATCCTTTCATACTGTCTTACGATATAAGCTCATATGAGTGACATGATTATAGCATTCTAACCAACATTTTTTTTGTGTCAATATAAATAAATATTTCAAATAAAATATCTACACTGTTGTATTATTGTCTAATCTGACACATCTTCCTGGCATACAAGTGTCATTTGTAATTGTGTCATGCTGTTTCGTAATATTTCTTTTAGATTAAAAGAGGAGAATGTGGAACAAATAGCAGCACTTAAGAACTTACATCATACTGATACAGAAAAGCTCATCTGTCAGCATGCCTTAGAACATTCATCGTCTAGAGTTGCTGAGCTAAGTAGCAAACTCTCAACACAAGAGGTAAAGATTTATCCTTCATTTAATATTCTTATTTTTACTGATAACAAGCATATCGTAGTTTTTGTATTCCAATTTCTTCAATAATTTGTATTTATAATTGCTTTAGAAATTATGTTGCCAGTGTTCATTACAAGCTTGTCTGATACCTGTAAACCCCATAACTACAACTATAAAAACTTAAATTTTTGCTTAAAACTCACCAGTTTTGTAATATTACCTTTCCTTTTTTGTGATTATTAAAGTTTTTTAACTGTATTAGAATAGCTTTTTTAAGTGTCTTGGTCCAGTTTTCATTGTCTATTTGTCATTGTCGTTTGTACGAAATAATCTCATCAGTACACTCTATAATGCCAACAGAGACTTGACGAATGTTGTTCGAAAGTAATTCAAAATTTCATTTGCTTTCAACATTAGATTTCAAAATGTATGGAATTTCCTGAATGAAACATACAACCACTATTAGAAATGTGTTTGTTCGAGGAAAAATTTCTTTCCTGCTTCTTCACTTTTTTTTTCATCACTACAGTCGTGCCTTGACCCCACTAAGGATGAAAAGTTCTAAAAATGGGAATTTTGGAACAAAAACTAATATATAATTAACCTTTTTTTAATGAATTCAGCATGCTCACATATAACTATAATCCACAGATCCTGATAAAGCATCTTCAAAAACAAGTTAGTGAGCTTCTGAAGGATAGAGAATCTTTGGCTGTATTTCGTATTCGTGAGGAAACACTGCAAAATGAGGTACTTGGTGCAATTTATATCAATAACTAAAATAACAATCGGTATTGTTACCTAGATGACAGATGTAATAGGAGCACAAGAATGTGAAATGAGTTTATAAAACTACATGTAATATTTAACTTTTTTTCAAATACTTGTTTCAGTAAGTAAAGATTAGCTGCAGATAGCTGCTATTGAGAAATATGATAAACTTCACTGACCCCCTGTGGGTTACAAATACAGAGACCCCCAAAGGTGAAGGAATTTTGAGGTAATAAAAATATGACAAGGGTTATAATTGTATCCTAAACTAGCGGAAACAATGAAATATACTGTGGCTGAAGTTTAGCTTTAAGGAGACACTACATAAAAAATAGAAAAAAACCCATGCTATTAGTACTCACAACTAAAAATAAATACACAATAAGTCAAATTGAATCAGGAAAGCAGCTACCACCCAACTGTGCAATCATTCCACTGTGTTAATGAATCAAAATCTGGTGAAGCACTTTCAATATGACATATCCAATATCATATAACCTCATACCATAACCCTTTATCATAAACAGATCTTCCCACTATTCAGTATACTTTTGTGAATGTGCAAAAAAAAACCAAATATATATACAGTGCCTTGGAAAAGTATTCATACTCCTTGAAATTTTCCACATGTCCTGTTACAACCAAAAACGTAAATTTTATTGGGATTTTGTGTGACAGACCAACACAAAGTGGCACATAATTGTGAAGTGGAAGGAAAATGATAAATGAATTTCAAACTTTTTTACAAATATCTAAAAAATGTGGCATGCATTTGTATTCAGCCCCCTTTACTCTGAAACCCCTAACTAAAATCTAGTAGAACCAATTGCCTTCAGAAGTCGCCTAATTAGTAAATAGAGTCCACCTGTGTGTAATGTAATCTCAGTATACATACAGCTGTTCTGTGAAGCCCTCAGATGTTTGTTAGAGAACATTAGTGAACAAACAGCATCATGAAGGCCAAGGAACACGCCAGACAGATCAGGGATAAAGTTGTGGAGATGCTTAAAGCAGGATTAGGTTATAAAGAAATATCCCAAGCTTTGAACATCTCATGGAGCACTGTTCAATCCATCATCCGAAAATGGAGAGAGTATGGCACAACTGCAAACTTACCAAGACATGGCCGTCCACTTAAACTGATAGGCCGAGCAAGAAGAGCATTAATCAGAGAAGCAGCCAAGAGGCCCATGGCACCTCGGGAGGAGCTGCAGAGATCCACAGCTCAGGTGGGAGAATCTGTCCACAGGACAATTATTAGTCGTGCACTCCACAAATCTGGCCTTTATGGAAAAGTGGCAAGAAGAAAGCCATTGTTGAAAGAAAGCCATAAGAGGTCCTGTTTGCAGTTTGTGAGAAGCCATGTGGGGGACACAGTAAACATGTGGAAGAAGGTGCTGTGGTCAGATGAGACCAAAATTTAACTCTTTGGCCTAAAAGCAAAACGCTTTGTGTGGCAGAAACCAAGCACTGCACATCACCCTGAACACACCATCCCCACCGTGAAACATGGTGGTTGCAGCATCATGTTGTGGGGATGCTTTTCTTCAGCAGGGACAGGAAAGCTGGTCAGAGTTGATGGGAAGATGGGTGGAGCCAAATACAGGGCAATCTTAGAAGAAAATCTGTTAGGTTCACCTTCCAGCAGGACAGCAACCGTAAATATACAGCCAGAGCTACAATGGAATGGTTTAGATCAAATGTGTTAGAATGGCCCAGTCAAAGTTCAGACCTAAATCCAATTGAGAATCTGTGGCAAGACTTGAAAATTGCTGTTCACAGACACTCTCCATCCAATCTGACACAGTTTGAGCTATTTTGCAAAGAAAAATGGGTACAAATTTCACTCTCTAGATGTGCAAAGCTGGTGGAGACATACCCAAAAAGATTTGTAGCTGTAATTGCAGTGAAAGGTGATTCTACAAAATATTGACTTAGGGGGTTGAATACAAATACACGCTACACTTTTCAGATATTTATTTGTAAAAAATGTTGAAAACGATTTATCATTTTCCTTCCACTTCACAATTATGTGCCACTTTGTGTTGGTCTATCACAAAAAATCCCAATAAAATACATTTACATTTTTGGTTGCAAAATGTGGAAAATTTCAAGGGTACGAATACTTTTTCAAGGCACTGTATATACCCAGTATAACTTTTAAAGCATTGAGAAATCTGACCTTTGAGAAAGCCAACTGGGGGCGCAACGCGTCAGCGGGCAGTGACCTCATCACGCTGGGCGAAGCTCGAATGCCATTTTGGAAAGTCGAGTATGCTAATAGCCTGTGACGTGCCTCTATGAACTTTTTAACATGTGAGTGGAATTTTACATTTCTTATGGAAATAAACTAGCAGTCTGCACTATTGGATGTTTCCTTGCTTTCTTCTAATATATCTATTCCTGGGAGATCGGTAATGACCAGGTGAATGCTGAAGAAGGTCGTGGTCTCTAATATAAAAGCGCAATTTACCCTCTTTTTGCAGTGGGATCCATGATATAAGATGAGGAGATACCCATGAGGTGTGATGAAGGGCACGGTGGTGTTTGTTCACACTGAAGAAAGTCATATTGTTGTTCTGACAAGAATTAATATATCGATTGAAGATTGGTGTATGGGATTATTTCTTTTCTTTTTTCTTTATACATTTACAAAAGGTCACGGAATACTGGGGGGGGGGGGGCTGTTTATGATAATGGATTGATAATGGGTTATTGTATGAGGTTATATATTTTATTTGTTGTGTCATATTGAAAGCTCCTTCACCAGTATTTGAATATAAGGAGACAATGTCGCCTTGTTCTGGCCCCCTTATACTCATCAGAGTTACAAAACTGCCTAAGCTATCCACAATATTCATTGCTTCCTGTGACTTCCTTCCCTGTGACGGTGCTTGGGTGTAGCATGACTGGGGAGTGATATCACCAGCTTGCCAATGCTTTTAGTTCAGTGTCAGCCACAGAGGACGAATGAGCAGCTAAAGATTGCTGAGTTCTCTAGCCTAAGGATTGTAGAGACACTGTCACTTTGCTTTGTGTGAACAACGTGTCTCTTTAAGGTTAGGGTGCCACTTCTTGCCGTAGCTAACCTAGTCTTTTTTTTCAATTCATTTAAAGGTCACAAAACTTCTGGATGAGCTAAAAGCAGCAAGAGAATGTCATACTCCAGAAATGAGGCACTATTTAACGCTTGATAGCAAGATTAAGTACATGGAAATGAGGCATTCACAAAGAGAGCAGGAGCTCCAGCAGGTACAGTAGCTGCCGCACATCTCTAAAAGAAATTGTGTTAGGTTAGCTATACTTCTGTGAATCTCCGAAAACTCTGAGCAATGTGAACACGAACCAGAAAGGTGCTGCTACTCGCTAAGTAGGAACATTGCCTACTATGTTGCTACCCCCACTGCACTTTGCAAAGCAGCCAAGAGTAGATGTACACTTCTGGGGCACAGATGAGCACAGCAGGAGGCAGGCAGAGCTTGGTCTCAGGTACACATAGCATTCATTTATGGACATGCAGATCATCTCTAACTTGACAATCCTTACAATACATTCTGTAGTGAAACATAAGTAGAGGAAACATATTATGGTGCCCCACCATGTATTTTTTTTCTAAACCGGTAAAGAAATTCTAGGCAATAATAAAATAATTGTTTGGGTGTAGTTTGTAGTCACATATGCCACCGTTCACAAAGGCTTTTGCATTATGCTCGGTGATGGTATTTCAAGAAGACTTGTTTATAACATTGACAATAAAATTAACCAAGATGTGACATTCTAATAAGGTTTAACTTCAAAATTGTGGGTGTACTTTACCTAACTTTGTTGAAAAAAGTAAGAAAATTATTGTATACGTTTAGTCCTCATGCACACTGGACATTTTTACAGCTGCTGTTTTTGGCGTTTGACATTTTTTTCTACAGCCAGTAAACTCCCCAGCATGTTATCCTATGTGTCCATGCACACATAGACTGTAATCAACATTTTTTGGCAGGGACATTTTGGCTGGAAAATAACCCATAACTAGTGGGTTTCTACAGGAGTTTTTTAGCTGTGAAAAAGCTCTAACGCTGAAAAACACTGCAAAATGCTGTAAATCGTGGCAAACCAGCATTTTTAGACTTATTTTTTTACTAAAAAAAAACATTTTTTTTGGTAAAAAAAAACTCTAGACTATGCTAAAAAACTGGAAACGCAAAAAAGCGGAAAACGCAGCTAATGGCTAATACAAAAATGCTGAAAACTCACGTTTTTAACTTGACTTTACACAGCTAACTTTACCAGTGTTATTAAAATGCCCTGTGTGCATAGAGCCTTAATGCTCTGGGCTATCTTTGACATCCTTGAAGGCACTTAAATGATATGTATTCAAATTGCATTGATTTCCTGTGTAGCTGCCTTGTTGTCAGTTTAGTAGTCAAAAAAGGTGGATAGTTTGTATTTAAAAGGACATCTGTGTTTTCATGGTATTGTTGCCCATCATTTTCTATCTAATGGGCTAATAAACACATTTTTTCATACATCACATGACACAGAGCAAACAGGAGTAATAAACATGATTACCTGGGTTATATCCCACCTACAGGTGATGGACACTGGCAAACAAACACAGGAAGTCCTTTCCTATATAACCCTGCCTCACTAGGACAGCATCAGTTTTTTTTTCACCAGTATCAGAGGCCATGGTTACTGCAGTGCTATGTCGCTAAAATGGCTGGTACCTGAACCACGCTACAACGGATGGATGTTTTTTTTGCTGGGTTTTGTTTGTAATACGACCTTTTGACACTGGACCCCGCAGGTCAGGGGCACTGGACCCCTAGGAAGGGGGAATTAAGTCCCTGAAAGTCTTTGCCCACCATTATGGCTTTCTTTAATCTGGACCTTTTTGCCAGATTGGTAAGTCCTTAGTAGCCTTGGTATTCAGAAACTCACTCCTGTTGTATTATCTGTGATTTGTGTTTCTCCATGCTAGAGGGCGCTGCTGCAGGCCGGGTCGTGCAGCTGCTCTGGTAACCGCCTGAATCTTGTTGCTAGGCTTGAGTTTTTTCTGTTTCCTGGAGCCATCTGTGGCTGGAGTTTCCAGTTTTTGGATGTCCTGATCTCACACAAGAGAATGGACTCTCCCAAAAGTTTTGGCCAGTTGGTCGAATGTGTGAGCAGGACTGCGCACGAGAGCGCAAGCACATAGCAAGGTCAGATGGAGGAGTTTCATTGGGTTTTTTTCTGTGATGAAGATAGTGGCAGGGACGTTGGTTAGCCAGACTGGATTGCAAACAGTGCACAGTGTGTGTTTCAGCCCATGGATGGTGGTGCAGTTGCCTGTGGGGGCAAGGGATGCTGTCAACTGGGATGTAGCCCTTCCTAGGATACCTTTTGACTTTGTGGTCTTAAGTATCCTCCCTGCTGATGTGAGACTGTCTTGGGAAGCACAAGTCTCAGGCAAGTCAGCAAGCTACTACATCTAATAGGAAGCAAGGAGGGGGGAGCCTGGCTGGGAGGGGCATATGGCTGCTGCTTTGAGGTGTAGAGATTGCTGGACAGAGTTCCGCCTTTGCAATTTTCCCTGGGGAGCCAGCTATGGCAGGTGGTTCAGAGACCCTGCATTTGGTCTGGATGTCATATATGACTGAGGACTTGGCATCCGCATTAGCAAGTTTAGAGATTAAACTTGCTGGAATGCTCGCCTCCTTTGTGCAGTGGGGTAGGAAAAGCAGATGGTCCCCTTCTCCTAATTCCCCTGTGGTGTTGGAGCCAGAATGGGTAGTCATAGAGGCAAAAGCAGAGCCTGAAGAGTATCTGCTTCGGAGGATTCGGAGTCTGCGAAAATTCAGGGTCAGAGAGTCTTTCTGGCATAAAGGACCCTTGTGGTTTCTATAGCCAAGGTGATTTGTTCTGATTTAGAATTGCCTCTTGTGGAATCTGCAGCTCCAAAGTGTCTGCTGCTGGGTTTATGGCAGTCACCTCTGGGGGCCCAAACTTTTCTGATACACTCCCACTTAGGATGAGCCTATTCTGAAAAAAAAAAAAATACCTCCTCTAACAGGGTATTTGTTCCTCCCAAAAGATGTGAGCAGCGATATCCAATGGAAATGAGATTGACTGTGCCCTCTGTGGATGCAGCAGTGTCTTGTCTTAACAAGAATTTAACTTGTCCGGTAGAAAATGCTCACGTCTTTAAAGAGCCAGCAAATTACAAAACTAGAGGCCTATCTGGAGGTATCTTTTCCTTTGCACGGGCGCTATACTACCAGCAGTGGCAGCGCATGGGGTCTGTCAGAGGTAAGGGCCACTTAAAGTGGTTGTAAAAGGCTGAAGGTTTTTAAAAAACCTGTGTGCAGCAGCTCCCCCAACCCCCTCAATACTTACCTGAGCCTCATCGTCATCCAGCGATGTCCTCGGCTGTGACGGGTCTCTGCCTTCTCAATGGCTATTAACCATTCACATTCACTAGGTTTTTTGGCTCAAGAGCTGGTCTGGTGAGTTGCCTTGTAAGAAGTTATTGACAGGCTTTCCATTCCATGGAAAACGATTGTTCAGAACAGAGTTAAAATTTATATTCAGAAGATCTTGAAAGGAAAAAGTTCCCTTCTTCTCCTGAGAAAAAAGGGTAAGTGTCCAGCTCGTAGGGCAGCTGCTGCTCACACATCAGAATCTGCCTCCTCTGCACAGGGATTTCGTCAGTCTCAGGTCATGTCCTCTAGGGCAAAGCCACAAGGCCAATTTCTAAAGAAAAATTGAGCCGCTAAACCAATGAAGCCATATTCCAAGTCCACCTTGCTGTGAAGAGGAGCTCTTGCTTATTCAGGTGGGGGGGGGGGGGGGGCAGTTGCTGAAGTTTTCAGGAGCATGTAGGAAGGAAGTAGTCGACTAATTGGTTCACAAATTCAGTGTCTCAGGGTTAAAATTGCAATTCCAAGAATTTCCACCTCCATGCTCCATGTGTTCTAATGTTTCTGCAAATGTTCAGAAGAGATATCTGCTTTTTCAGGCACTGCATTATCTTCTATTGAAGGGAGGTGATCACGCCGGTCTCAGAGGCCAAAAGGATTCGGGAATTTTACTCAAATCTCTTTACAGAGCAAAAACCTGATGGTAATGTGCAACCAATCTTGGACCTGAAAAATTTCTGTGATAGCTGCACAACCTGCTGCTCAGAGAGCAGTATGTTCTGCAGCTGTGACACAATCTGAACCTCCCGATTCAGACTTTGGAAAGATTTGGTTGGGTTTTCAACCTTAGGAAGTCTGTGTTACTTCCAACCCAGGGCTTGTTCTGGGATATGGTTCAGGCAAAGGTTCTTCTTCCCCTAGAAAAATGTGTGTCCCTTGGAAGGCAGGTAGTATCGCTCAAGGAGCTGAAGAATCCCTCAATCCTCTTTTGCATGAGGGTATTGGGGAACATGATGGCTTTGCGCAAGGCTGTTCCTTTCACACAGTTTCACTGTCTCTGCAGCGGAATGGTTTGTAAGCATGGGACAGGAAATCTCTCTTTGGACTTTTGGATGTTTGTTTCCCAGTGTTCTGCAGTCACTGGATTTGTATCCAGGTCCAGGGATCCCCTGGTAGAAGCATTGGATGCATTAGTAGCTCTTTGGGATCAGTACAGCCTGATCTTTGCCTTTCCTCCACTAAAGATCTTCCTTGACTGAATTGAGATGAGGAGGGGGCATTCTGCTGGTTTTCATATCCCTGGACTGGCCCAGGAGAGCATGGTACTTTGACCTGGTAAGAGTTCTGACAGACACGCCGTGAGCTTTACTAGACTAGACTTTCCAGATTTGCTGTCTGAAGGACTATTTTATACCACCCTGCGTTTTGGTCATAGGGACAAAGTGGTGATAAATTCTAGGCCTTCCTTCCTAATGTGGTCTCTGATTTTCACCTTAACCAAAACATTGTCCTTCCACCCCTTGAGCGCCAGTTCACCAGGAAGGAGATTTTTGTCTATTGTCTTGATGTGCTCAGGGCTGTTCAGGGTTATTTCTCAGAAACACTGTATTTCCAAACACATACTCTATTTTTCTCATTCCAAATGCACCCATAACGGGTGCTCTGGCTTCATGTTTCACTATTTCTAGGTGGCTCAGGCATACCATTGGTAAGGCATACCACTGGTATTAAAGGCTTATGGTATTAAGCGGTAGTAAGCCACCACAAAAATTAAAAAGAAGAAACAATTGGGCCTCTGCAGGCTTACGTCATAATGTACTGGTATGCACTACATACTAGCACCTTTATGACAAATGTACCTGGACTTTGAGCCCTCCAGCGCAGCGCTGTCATGGCTCCTGGGCACATTCATCTTTACCCAGTCTTCCTTCCGGGTTTGCAGACTCCGGCTGTATGAATGGCCGGGGGTGCGATGACATCCCTCCCGTGCACAAAGCTCTGAAGGGGCATCACGGGTAATGCGTCCCTTTGGTGCGCATGCACAAGTGATGTCAACAGCTGCATGCTGTGTGGATATCTCTTAAACAGTGAAAGTTTAGGAGATATTCACTGTATCTACAGGTAAGCCTTATTATAGGCTTACCTGTAGGTACAAGTTAAGAAGTGGACTTTACTTTCACTTTAATGAATAACTTACACCCTTTCCAGTTAGCTGTGAGCAAATCTTGGGCATCTCAGCATCAGGCTTCTTAGTCTTTTGCTCCCACATTTTCTGAGTTATGTCAAATGGGCATTTTTGCTTTGTTTGACACCAGTTTCGAGTGTAAAGTCCTTCACCTGGCTCTTTGAGCTGCAAGTAGTCCATTTTTCCTCTTGGGCCTGTTTAACTGTTTTTTGGCTATGGTGCCCACCCCTCAGTTGGACTGCTTTTGGACATACCAAAGGTTTAAGATTTCATGTGTCCCTTAATGAACAATAAAGGAGATAGGATTTTTGTCTTTTTTTTTTTGTTTTTTTTGGGAGTCCATCAAGGGGCATAAGCCCCACCCTTCTGTGTTCATAATCCTGCTCTTGATACTTCTTTGCTACTAAACTGAGGCATGCTAGTAGTAGAGTTGTTTTTTGTTTGCCAATGTCCTGTCCTCCTGAAGCAGTATATAACCAGGGTGGCCAACCTGCGGCTCTCCAGCTGCTGCAGGACTACAAGTTCCATCATGCCTCTGCAAGTCAGTAACTTCCCATCTTTGCAATGCCTCATGGGAAATGTAGTTCCACAACAGCTGGAGAGCCACAGGTTAGCCACCCCTGAGTATAACCTAAAGTTTTAAGGTTACATCTTTACAAGAAATTGATTTTACAGTGAGAACAAAAATCCTAATTTTCCAGACCTACAGTGACTTTAAAAAGTATTTATGTCCCTTTTGAAATTTTCCACATTTTGTCATGTTACAACCAAAAACATAAATGTATTTTATTGGGATTCTATGTGATAGGCCAACACAAAGTGGTGCATAATTGTGAATGGAAGGAAAATGATGAACGGTTTTCAAAATTTTTGACAAATATCTGAAAAGTGTGGCGTGCATTTGTATTCAGCCTCCCTGGATCAATACTTTGTAGAACCTTTCGCTGCAATTACAGCTGTAAGTCTTTTTGGGTATGTCTCTACTAAGTTTGCACATCTAAAGAGCGAAATTCTTTCCATCCAATCTGACAGAGTTTGAGCCATTTTGCAAAGAAAATGGAGAGTGTCTTTGAACAGCAATTTCCAAGTCTTGCCACAGGTTCTTAATTGGATTTAGGTCTGGACTTTGGGCTATTCTAACACATGAATATTCTTTGATATATACCATTCCATTGTAGCTCTGGCTGTATGTTTAGGGTCGTTGTCCTGCTGGAAGGTGAACCCCCACCCGTCTTGAATCTTTTGCAGACTATAACAGGTTTTCTTCTAAGATTGCCCTGTATTTGGCTCTATCCATCTTCCCATCAACTTTGACCAGCTTCCCTGTCCCTGCTGAAAAAAAGCATCCCCACAAGATGCTGCCACTATTATGTTTCACAGTGGGGATGGTGTGTTCAGAGTGCAGTGTTAGTTTTCCGCCACACAGCATTTTGCTTTTAGGCTAAAAAGTTCAATATTGGTCTCATCTGACCAGAGCAGCACCTTCTGCCACGTTTGCTGTGTCCCCCACATGGTTTCTCAAACTGGACTTCTTATGGCTTTCTTTCAATAATGGCTTTCTTTTTGCCACTCTTCCATAAAGGCCAGATTTGTGGAGTGCATGACTAAGGCTACTTTCAAACTGCAGAGTTTTTGAAGCGTTTTGTGTTAAAAAAAAAGCGCCTGAAAAGCTCAATAAAAATGCTTCCCTATGTATGTGAATGTATATCTATGTATGTTTTCACACTGAGGCATTGCACTTGCAGTGCGGTGTAAAAACTCCTGCTTGCAGCATCTTTGGAACATGTTTGGGGAGTTAAAAAAAAAAAAGCCCCAAAAACGCCTCTTCCCATTGAAATCAAAGGAAAACGCCTGAAAAGCACCTCAAAAATGCCTCCTGAGAGGCGTTTTTGGTGCAGTTTTTAAGTCATGCGCCTTTGTGTTTTTGCAGCAGATCAGTGTGAAAGTATGCTAATCGTTGTCCTGTGGACAGATTATCCAACCTGAGCTGTGGATCTCTGCAGCTCCTCCAGAGTTACCATGGACCTCTTGGCAGCTCCTCTGAATAATGCTCTCCTTGCCTGGCCTGTCAGTTTAGGTGGACAGCCATGTCTTGGTAGGTTTGCAGTTGTGCCATACTCTTTCCATTTTGGATGATGGATTGAACAGTGCTTTGTGAGATGTTAAAAGCTTGGGATATTTTTTTTATAACCTTACCCTGCTTTAAACTTATCCACAATTTTATCCCTGACCTGAGTGGTGAGTTCCTTAGCCTTCATGATGCCGTTTGTTCACTAATGTTCTCTAACAAACCTCTGAGTGCTTCACAGAACAGCTATATTTAAACTGAGATTCAATTACACACAGGTGGACTCTATTTACTAATTAGGTGACTTTTTAAGGCAATTAGTTTGACTAGATTTTAGTGAGGGGTATCAGAGTAAAGGGGGATGAATACAAATGCATGCCACGCTTTTCAGATATTTATTTGTGAAAAATTCTAAAAAACATTTATTATTTTTCTTCCTCTTCACAATTATGTGCCACTTTGTGTTTGTCTATCACATAAAATCCCAATAAAATACATTTATGTTTTGGGTTGTAACATGATGTGGAAAATTTCAAGGGGTATGAATACTTCAAGGCACTATAGATGTGGGTAAAGGAAAGAAGAGGGCTCAGTTACCCCAATATAAGGTCTGTCATCCTTTACTCACCCCCTCTGTCCCTTACCCCTATATAACATAGAGGGTAGGGTCAGCTGCTACAGGAAGAGAATGATGTAAGTAAACTTCATCCAGGCTGGATGGCTTCATGTCTAAAGTTCCTGGCTCTCAGCAAAACCGGTAACCATTGCAACTCACTCAGTAACTGTTCCTTGGCCTTCATGATGCTGTTTGTTCACTAATTTTCTCTAACAAAACTCTGAGGGCTTCACATAACAGCTGTATTTATATTGAGATTAAATTACACACAGGTGGACTCTTATTTACTAATTAGTTGACTTCTGAAGGCAATTGGTTCCACTAGATTTTAGTTAGGGGTATCTGATAAATGGTTTTGCATTTGTATCCAGCCCCCTTTACTCTTTTTCCTTCCACTTCACAATGATGTGGCACTTTGTGTTCGTCTATCACATAAAATCCCAATAAAATAAATTTATGCTTTTGGTTGTAACATGATAAAATGTGGAAAATTTCAAGGGGTATGAATACTTTTTCAAGGCACTGTACATGGCATATGCACTGCTGTTTAAATTGGGTGCTTTGCAGTCACACTGAACTACATCAGAATGGCCACATGTTGAATGCTCTTCTGTATTCTGCCACCTGTATGTCGTAATGTTTAGGGAAGATATTTTGTGCACACAGCTGACGTTTGTCCTGTTCCTAATTAAAAATTTTGCTAATTGTCTGGATTTCGGGAAAAATGGTTAATAATAGCTATTCACATCTCATCTTCATGTTAATGTTACTAAAGACTGTATTTAACGTACACAGCACATTGCATTGTCATATCTCTGTTGAGCAAAGGTCAACAGTCATCCTCATGGATGGAAAGTTAATAGCTAGCAGGCATCTTCTTCAATGAAATTGTCCTCTATGAAATGTCATAATGTCACAGCTCCAACAGCGGTTAGGATGTATTTTGACCCTTTACTGTATTAGAAAAAATATTTGCGATTATTAACTCTATAATTTTAGAATGTCTGCTGTAAATAGCTTGCTAAGGAACCAGAAGAAATGACATATATTTAAAAGTACTTTTCAACTCAAACTAAAATATTAGCTTCATCAGTCAAAATAGAAATTTCAGGTTCTGTGGTTAAAATGCATAATTTTAAATTGTATGTTATTTTGTACACAGATTTAAAGTATTATCTTAATTCTGTAGGTAATACAGCAAACCAGACAAGCTGCAGAAAATGTACAAACCAAAGAAACAGACAAGTGGAAGAAACTTGTACATCAGAAGAATATGGAGTTAGAGAAGTTCAGATCAGAGTTAGATGCAATATTGGATGTCCTCCGTGTATTACAGAGGCAGGGAATTGTTATCCCCACAACAGCATCTGAAGGTTATTAGGTTTTTTGGGGAACATAAATACTTATGTTACATATACCCAATGAAGTGACTGGCCTCAGCTAATACAGAGATGAAATAAATCCTCCTACATTGGTTGTACTTGTTTATCTGTTGCCCTCTCTCCTCTACATTAGTTCAAATATTGAAGGATTTTTCTCAGCAGCAGGGGGCAGAGATCTGACAACACACACTGAACAGCTAGAGCTTAGAGCTCCCTGTACACACAGCCCAGTGGAGGGAAGGGACAAACCCCTTGTACACAGGCTTACGGAGATCATACACAATTGAGGCTGTGTGTGTCACCAGCTGTGTGTGTGTGTGGGGGGGGGGGGGGGGGGGTGTCGCACTGCAGCACTCGATTATAATTGTAGCTTCTTGCCAAGAGATCTGCAACTGTTCCAATGCAGTAAACAAGGCCCATAAACTGCTGTTTGTAGGGTTCTCCTGTTTTTATTATTAACACCACCACAAAACTGCACTTCACTTTAGCTGCATCAGGCAGAATAGTACATGTATAGAGGGCATTTGTCTCTGTGCAGAACCATGCCTGTACACACAGACTTTATGGTTCGTTTTATCTTGCTTATCTCATGTACATGTTCTGTTTTTTCCATGTAAACAAATAATTTGGCTAATAGCAAAAACAGGTCAGGGAGTAATGGAATAACTAGAGATAATACCCCTACGTGAGCCTGTCTAGATGCACCTTTTCATTTTATACTTGTATACTTTATACTTATTTATTGTCTGAAATGATTGTTTTTTTTGTATAAAATATATTTTTTTTTAATTTTGTGTTTTGGTTTTTTTTTTTGTACTGGAAACATCACATCTGTGGAAAATGAATTGTTATACTATATTATAATACTACATCACAGCTTGATGCTCTGAATGCCGTGAGCCAAATCCTTTACAGTTAAAGTTCCTGGTATAACAATGTCAACCACTTGGATTGATTTATACCTACCATAAAATGCAGGGCAGTTGACAAAACCAAACAATACAAAAAGTATGCCAGTATACTTAGCTGCTAGTCTACAAAGATCTTTAGTCTAAACTGCTTTTAACAGCTTGCGTGAACAGAGGTTTGTAAAAGCAGTTTAGACTGCAGATTCTTTGCACAATGCATACATTTGAGCTGTTGCCCTTTTTATTTTGCTTCTATTTCTGCAGATATACCCCAGAGGTTTTCAGTTACCATTTGACCTGTGCTTGGTTTCTGTTGTGTCCCTGCTCCTTTAAAGGCTAACTCCACTTTCATAAATAAAAATATAGCATATGCAATTGCTAAACAAGCCATATTGTAATGTAATGTTATTAAAAATGACCTTTCCTTTTCAATTTGAAACCTCTGTAAATCTCAATGCAACATGGCAAGCAATAGGCCTTCTGTACACTGTTAGTGTACAAAATGCCCACAAGAAATGTCATTTCCTGCTTGTGTGATTAGCTCAATTATTTTCCTAGAAGTCCTAAGATGCAAGTCAAATTTTAAGCACCCCTTGCACGTATCCAAAGGGGGAATATTGAAAGAATTAGCTTTCTCTTCAGAGCAGGAAAAGGTAGGAATCTGCAGTAAAGTTTTGGTGATCAATGTACATTGCAAGGATTTAACAGAGGGGAATTTTTTTCTCAACAAAAGTGGAGTTGCTCTTGAAAGATGAATACGCTGCCTCCTGGACATACCTGCTCTCAATTTATTTAATGTTATATATATCCCAAAATAGGAGATCTGGTAGACTGGAGTTAGGGACCACACTTTATGAAGGTGCCTTAGTATTGGCACCAGTGCAACTCTTTTTACAAAAATATATGTAAAAGCAACTGAGTACTTGCACGAGTACTCATGCAAATGTTCCCGATACTGAAACCGATACCTTTTGCGGTGCCATTTGAGCTCATACAAAATGAATAGGCTCATTCAAATCGCTCTGCGAAGAATTGCATGCGATTTGAACAGGAATGTAGTGCAATTCCTGTCCAAGTTGCATGTGGTTTCTCGCACAGCTCCTGTGTAAATCCAGGCTTGTCATAGTAACTTTGAGACTAAGTTCACACGGGTGGTGCGGTAAACATCCCGACTTTACAGGTTCCACCAGTAACTCTAGCTGCCATCAGTGGCTGCAGCTTGGGCTCCTCCTGCCTCTCTCACTACTTTGTTCCCCCTAGCCTTCAGCAGTTAGAGCCACTGGAGGTGACCCCTGGGAACACTTGTGAGGAGCCACAGACCAGCCTAATAAAAAAAAAACCCTGGTCGTGAAAATAGGAGGTGACGGAAAGGAGCCACGGGAAGCGGTATGTTTTTCAAAAGTATACACCGCCTACACCTGTCAAAGCCTGTCACAACAGTTCACACGGGGAGCTGAAGTTAAGCAAACACAGGTGTGGTCAGTGATGGAAAATGCCTAAAGAGAAGAGATCTGAGGGGCCACGCTGTGGGTGCAGAAGGGGAACGGAGGTGGGGAAGGATAGAAGAAAGATTCAGAAGGAGAAAGGCACCATGACATTTTGAACTAGGAGCTTGAGATCTCATTAAAGAGTGGAAATCGGAGGGGGCATGTTTAAAGTACCCTATGGATATTGATAAGAATATCTGCAGTAAATAACAGATTTAAATACTGGAGCCCTGGAAATAATTTGCTGTTGTGAACTATAAAATCTGAAATATAACATCAAAAAAATTAAGAACAGATCTGGAGAAGGCTTGAATATGCCTCAATTAAATAAGAGTACAATAAGAAAATTATATGCATTCACAGGAGAAAATCCCAGAAGGACAAACTCAGGAGAGGCAGCAAGGAGGAAGACATGAATGGGGAAATAATATGGGAGACCACTCTGGAACATCACTGGGAATATCGAACTTGAATCAGTCTAAAGCAGTGTTTCTCAACTCCAGTCCTCATGGACCCCCAACAGGTCATGTTTTCAGGATTTCCATTATTTTGCACAGGTGGTTTGATCAGTTTCACTGCCTTAGTAATTACCACAGCTGTTTCATCTGAGGGAAATCCTGAAAACATGACCTGTTGGGGGTCCACGAGGACTGGAGTTGAGAAACACTGGTCTAAAGAGATGCTAAATATAGAGAGTAAAATAGAAAAATAAAATATAGAAGAACAAGAAGCAAAGTCTCAAATGCCACAAAAACAGAAATCGGACAAATGTTTGTGAAGTTAGAACGCTCCATAAAAAAATTAGATGACAATATTAAACAAGGTCTTCTCCTCATTAGGTGACTGGAAAATAGCAAGATTGCGCACTCACCGACCGCACATTTAAAATGCGCCTGTGTATGATATAATCCAAAAGACCAGCCAGGTATACAGCTCCAGAGACCACACGGATCCTCCCCCTCTTCCACACTCTCATCCGCCTTGGGTGTAGCAATATCTCCAATCCAAAGGTAGATAGACAGAGATCCCCTTTTTGGTTCAGACACCCCAAGAATGGAAGATGTATATCTGCACTCTCCAACAGGAGAGTCAAAGAAAAAGGGGAACGCCAATAGTGTGGTACTATCAAAACTTTTATTGGAGCAATAATGCCTGGGTCATATGCACATACATATCCATACACCATAAGCCAATAACGGACAGGTAGGTATGAAAAGGAAATTGTACTAACCCGGCAATGGCATAAAAACAAAGACCACTAGACCTCCTCTTGGTCTCAGTGGTCTGGAAGTCACACTTGTACTTGGCTCCTCCTGAGGCCTTTCGTGCAAAAAGCACTTCTTCAGAGGATGGACGCCACTAGCAGTGTGACAGCCAGACTTCCATTTAAAAGCCGTTCGCGCATGCGCGAATAATCCCGCTCTATCGTAAAAAACGGTAACTGCGCATGCGCGAATAGCGGCCATTTTGCCGTGGATCGCGGCTGTGCAGTATCAAACTGCGCATGCGCCACCCGATCGCCGCCATATTGCCATGGATCATAGGCAGCAAGAAAAAAGCTGATGCTGGAGATCTATAAATTAGGACGTGAGGAACAAAAAAAGCAAGCACATACTAAGGTGCTGGTTCATCCTATAGATGGATACGAATACCTTCCCACCCCAAAGGGAAACACTAGAGAGGCCCGACCTGGAGTCATTTATCCAAGTGGGGATATATATAGGGGAGTGCACAAATAAGTGCCGCACGCAAAAGCCCTCTTTGAAATCACTAACTAACTCCATGGCATAGGGGCTTCTATATCATCATACATAGATGGAAATAATAATAAAACTGAACTTTAAAACTATTGTGTACATATAAAACTATTGTGTACATATAAAACTTCTAAACGCCCAAAATCGTTTAATATTGCAATCACATTCAATAGGGGCTTAATTGATAATTGTCAAATTCTGGGTCACAATGTCTTGGTACCTTATGGTCATATACTAGGGACTAGTGTGAAAAGGTTAAGTGGTTCTATGTTTATAACCCGATCTCACCAATTTCAACTCTCTGTATTGTCCAGAACCATAACTCAAATACCCTAGATGAGGCTGTTAGACAATCATAAAAAATCGACATAAAATAGAATAAAAAGAACTAAAAATTAAAAGATATACGATAAAAATTCAGCACTATACTACGTTACAAAGTCTCCATGTCCTAGCTATTGGCAATGAAACAGTTGATGTCTACCTCCACATTGTGTCCATGAGGGTAAAGGGTGCGTAATTCGTAGACCCAACGAGTTTCAGCCTGCGAGACTGTTCTGGTCTTGTGAAGTCCCCTCCAATGTGGTGATACCATTTCTATACCCACAAACCTTAAAGAAGTAGGATCACTATTATGGAACCGTCTAAAGTGATTTAGATTAGCGAATGGTCCCTATAGCCTTTTCTAATGTTGGCTACATGTTACCGCAGACGGTCCCTTAGGCGCCTAGTTGTCCGCCCCACATACTGCTTATTGCAGGGACAACTGAGGAGGTAGACTACAAACTTGCTGTTACACGTTATGCACTGCTTGATGGTGTAGGACTTCCCTGTTGATGTTGAAGTG